TACACTAATAAAAACCTCATAGTGATTGGAGCTTATTAAAAAAGCTATTCATTATGATATTGTTCTGCAAAAACATTACGAAGTTAGGTGCGTGACCGTCGGTATGGTATTTCAAGAGGCGACTAAACTGTTCGCAGTCAGCAAACATTACAACAAACAGAACAATTGTTGAAAATATTGTGTCCCGGCGGAGTTGGTATCTTGCAATTTTAGCAGCGCTCATAGCACGAGAGACTGACACTTGCATTGCTCTCATAATAATCACAGACTCCAGCTGTATTGTTAATTACCGATGCGTACAACTACTGAAACGACGAAAAAAAAAAATACAAGCTGATTGAGGATGAAACTTTGTTCTTTTACATCGATACGAGCAGAAAGATATTTAGAAGCGATTATGGACTTTGAAATATTCAGAGGAGAGGAATTCATTTTTGTTTCAGTTGTACGTTATGTTAAGGTTTACAATACATTAAAATTTAACTAATTATTGAATTTATTTTGTAGCTCTTTAAGAACTTGTAGAGCTATTAAAATACATTTTTACACACACACACACACACACACACACAGATAGATAGATAGATAGATAGATAGATAGATAGATAGATAGATAGATAGATAGATGAACAGAATTAGACAGATAAGAACAAAATCAGAAATAGATGGATAAATAGTATGTGTATGAGTAAGAGATAAAAAATATATATATATATATGAACAGAATTAGATAGTTTAAGATAAGAAGAATGAGAAATAGATAGATAGATAGATAGATAGATAGATAGATAGATAGATAGATAGATAGCATGTGTGTATGAGTGAGAGGTAAAACAGGATATATATATATATATATATATATATATATATATATATATATATATAGAGAGAGAGAGAGAGAGAGAGAGAGCGAGAGATAGATAGATAGATAGACTGGGGAGTGAGAGAGAGAGAGAGAGAGAGAGAGAGTATGAGATAATTGGTTATCTCTCTATTTTCCAATTTACGACAAGCAAGCATGATTTGTTTTTCTCAGTTTTCTTATATAACCGTACGTCAAGGCATATAGACAGATGATTTACACAGTGTGTTATTAGTTTACTAATAATCTATTTAGTTAGAGTTACACTCTCTGAAAAGTAATTAGACATTCACTCATTTAGGTTTTCAGGGCTATAAAAACAATTCTCTTCAACACGTATTTTCTCATAGCAGCACCAAAACTGTCCGCTAACGCAAAGTCAACGAATTGAAAAAAAAAAAAAAGAAAAGGAAAGGAGAAAGAAAAAAGTTATTAAACAAAACGTATTTAAATTCCAGGGATTGGATCGAAGTGAAATGAGTGTAATTAACAATGAAGTCAAACAACCAATCTCAGACCAGACAGAATAATGTGGCTGGTGACGTCCTGAATAAGCACTGTTTACTTCCTATACATTATTAGTTATTTTGTCTTCTAAACAGGGACGGACGCAAGAAGCTATGAAATGGAAGATACCTGTTTGTAAAATTTTGAAAAAAGAAGGAGCTATAAAACAAAGAAGAATAAAATGAAGGTAAGTTTTTTTGTTTTTTTTTTTAATCTAATACAAAACAGAATTTCAAACAAAAGTTTCAGATTGTAAAAATTCCAACTTTTTTTTCCCGGATAATCTCTTCTTTGTGTTTTTGAATTCGTCCGATCTGTTCTACGATCAACCTCAGGTGCACCGTCCGTAAGGAAAGGGAGGGTCTATTCTTCTGGCAATGTAAAGCAAAAAAAAAAAAAAAAAAATGATAACAAGCAGGATTTTTTTTTAGTGGGAGATTGGCTAAAACTTTGTACTGAAAAGATCAAAGGTAACGGAGGAGAGATAAAATTCTACCCACCTCCATCCCAAAAGCTGGAACTTACTAACCACTCTTCTCAAAATTATTGACAATAGATTGTAAAACCTAAAAAAAAAAAAAAAAAAAATATCGCAAGGCTTTTTTCTTTTTATATTTTTGAATATCTCCTTTTTATCGGTACTATTTGAATGGTAAAAAAAATAAACCAGTAAAAATATGCTTTTAACAAGTAACATTGATAAAAAAAAGATATGCTTCTAATATTGATTAGTTAATAAGACAAATCCAACATTTTTCCGATTTGGCATCATCGTTTACATTTTAAAATTATTTGATAGATAACTTTACGTTCTATAAATAAGTGAAGGCATCACAACAAATTGTGAGTGTCTGCAGTTTTATCTTTTTCTATGTGCCGTGTCCCTTTAGGACGTGAGAGACCATAGTCCTACACAACTTCCTGTCCGTTATAGCTCTGAGTAAAGTTTGTCTTTTTGCTATCCTTCCTAGTCCCTGTCTACCAACCATTTACACATGCTCGTTTGGTAGGGGTTATGTGCTTCTGTCCTCTGTCCCACTTGCCGTCAATAATCCCTGTCAGTGTCACATTTTCTAAGCCCACTTTCCTCATTATGTACCCTAGAAATTTCAGTTGTCTCTTTCTGATGCAAGGTATAGATGTCCTTTTTGTTTCCATTTTCTCTAAAAGTTCGTCGTTGCTCACATATTCAGTCTATGGTATTCCCAGCATCCTTCTGTAGGACTACATTTCTGTTGCCTTAAGTATTTGTTTCCGCAAAAACAAAATTTAGCACAGTTTTCCTGATGTGAAGGCTTACTTACATTTTGCTGAGTGAGTGTATCTATAACCTACTCAGTTTCATCGGCTTTTGCTGTAGACAACAAGGTGGCCTCTGACCGTATATTATGATGGTGAGATGAATCCATAATATGTATGTCTACTTCGTATCTCATCGCATCCTCTATATCTTTTATATTACGAAATATTTATTAGGAGCTATAGTATTACACCTATAACTCTTGTACTTTCGTCCCCTTCATTTATATACATTATACTGTATTATGCCCCATTATCATTCATATCGATTGACGTATTTTAATTTGCATATTTTCGCGCGTAATTTAATGGATGAATTTTGACTGGAAATTTACTTTTATTTTACTTAGGTACCTCCACTTTTTCGACATAAATTTTCGATACCTAAAGTTTAAAATGAAATTTTAAAAATGGAAAAGCATTTTTGAAGATTTCATTTTAGCTTTAATTGAAAACTAAAGGATTTAATTTATTATTTCCAGTAAGTAAAATATTCTGGTGTATTTCAGATAGAAATTATATAGATTGGAATGTCAAATTTAATTTCGATTTCTTAAAATTTTCTTAAAAGCGGCCATTTTCTTAATTTAAAAAAATTTGTAAACAAAAGAAATTTATCGATTTTAAAAATCTTCCAATATATATATATATATATATATATATATATATATATGGCACGTTATTTGAGCAAAATTAGAAAATTTAAAGTTAAATTAATCTAATTTTAAATAAATATTACTTACTTATAGCATAAAAAAGTAATATACAACTATTTGTTATTAATCGGCCCTGTTTATCAGAAGCGATGATTGATGGACGATTGAGTGACGAAGCGATGACAGCTAGTATGGCTGACTAGAATTGATATAGAATTTACGAAATCTAAATGAATACATTTTTGGTTTTTTTTTAACTACCTAGTAATTTTTACAAATGAAAATATTTTCCGCAATTATCTAATAATTTACTGACTTTTATTTACCTTTGGAAGATGCTTTATGCAAAAATTAAAAAAAAAAAAAAACAATTTAAAATACTATAAAATTATCTTAAATTAATTTCTCTGTAAAGAGACAAAACTCTTAGATCACGTGACCTTTTCATAAATAATGTCACGTTTAGCTTTTCATAGATGAAAAAAGAGAACAAATTAAATAAAAAAATAAAAAATAATTTTAAAAATAGAATAGTGTAACTATGTTTATTAATCTTTTCAATTTTGGATTAGTAAATTTCGTTTCCACTTAATTACTATATCACATCCAGGAAATAGCCCAATACAGAATTTTACACGATTCTAAACTATTATAAACTCTAATTAAAATTTTAAAAAAAGAAAAAATTCTTGTAAAAATTCATTATTCATCGGAAAAATTTTATTTCTTCAGACAATAGTGTCCTTAATATAACTTATTTACAAAAGCAATTAAAAGCTTTTCTAATTAAATAATGTTATAGTTTTATTGCATACATTATTTTTCAATTCAGAGCAGATTTTCAGTAAGAATAGCACAAATTTGAAAAGAAAAATTAGCTGATTGACATTCTCCAAGAAGTCCTACGAATAAAAAAAAATTCAGGAAATAGAAAAATTTTTTGCGAAATTTCATGAAATTAAGTGCGTGTGTGTGTGTGGGGGGGGGTAACATATATAAAAAATATATTTTTTACCAAAATTTTCTAAAAAAATTTCAAAAATAATTTCATTCATTTGTGAATAAATCCTGAAAATTTCACAAAAATCGCACAATTATTTGATTTTTACAAGAATTTCCAAATTAATGTGTTTTCAACGGAAAAAAGCGCAAAAAAGTCACTGTAATTATTATGCCACCAAGATGACGTAAACAAAACAAGATTTTAACCAAAATTTTGACCGTGTTAGAAAGGATTAAAAATTTAAAAAAAATAATCAAAAAATATTTTGGTCTTAAATATTTTGACGATAAAACTTTATTTTTATTAAGTTTGTGGACTTTTTCATTACGCTATGCTGTTTTCCGCGAAAAAGTGGTTCATAATATTGTATAAAAATCTCTGTGATATTTATTTCTTTTCCCAACTAAAAGGAATACTGTGCGTTTTTTTTTCTTCATTATTAAATAGCTTTTTCCATTACATATCAATTTATATATATTTAAATTATTTATATTATTTAAAGTTTATATATTTATATTATTTAAAGTTTATATACGAGATTTAGTAGGCTAATTGAGCTGGAAAGTATACTATGCTGAGGCCCGTTGAGACTAACAGGAACTGAAATATTTCAGTTTTTATTTCCTCTGGCAAAGAGAAAAGCTTAAAAAGTGACAACTACAAGAATATGAGAATGGATCAAGGGATTGATAAATTGCTAAAAGATAATATTTATTCATTATTTTTTCTAAACGAAAAAAAAGGTAATTCAAAGTTTATCTTCTTTTAGTCATTTATTAACCTCACATAATGTTCTTTCTTAATATTTTGAAAATCGCAAGTCAAATATTTAGGATTAGTCAAGTAGCTTTCGGAATACCTCTGTGAAGTAACTACAGGGAGTCTCTGGTTTTAGTGATAATATTTATGGGAATTATACACAGTTTTATGTTTACTGAAAAAGACAACGAAACCTATTTTTGCATATTTTAATTTTTGAAATTTACAAATTCATTTTTTAATACTGACCTTCTAATTCGATTTTCCAAAATAAAACCATATTTTTTTTGCTTTTCATTTTCATTTATGTTTGAATGACAAAGTGGAAAACTCTATGTGTTGTGTTTTGTCCTCTAAAAGAGTGTTTATTAAACTAACGCAATGTTCTTATTGAATTATACATATTTCTGTAATGTTGGAGGTGGGTAGATATAAACGTAGAGACCGTTTATAATGATTCACGCAGAGAAAACGTTGAAGATGTAGGAACGTTAAATTTGAAATTTAAAAATTTTTGGCGTTCCACGTGTCTAGATGCAAAACTCATCCTTTTTCTAATTCGGTTTCCCAATGCTTCTATTTTCATCGTTGTTGCTTTTAAATATTTCACATTGCGACAACAGAATATTTGTTAAGAAAGGTGAAATGTTGTAATAACTTGGACACAAAAACAACAGCGATAAAAACAAAAACAAAATCTTTGCTTGACTTTTCACTTAGAATTGAATCTATTGATTTATATGCAGTATAGCAGAAGATTATAACAGAAACCATATACGGAATACATGGTTTCTGCTATAATCTCTAAATTGGAGTCCGACAAAGAATGTGAACTTGATGATATCCCTGCAATAATCCTTAACAAATGTGCTCTTGAAGTGACTTCTGTTCTCTCTAAACTCTACAAGAAATGTCAATGCTTCTTGCTTTCCTACTTGTTGGAAATCCGCTTCTATAGTTCTAGTCAGAAATCAGGAGAATCGTCTGATTCTTCTAACTACTGGCCTATTAGCCTTCTACCCCTTTTGGGTAAAGTATGAGAGGCTTCAATCAACTGTGAATTGGTTAAGCATCACACCTCGCAGGGTTTTCTTTTTCATAAGCAATATGTCTTTCGCTTCTGTAGGTCAACTGCTGATGTGTTAACGTTTATTACCGAAAGAGACTATCATGCTTTAGATAAGAATAGTGAAGCTCGGGCTGTTGCATTGGATATCTCGAAGGCATTTGACAAGTTTTGGCATGCTGATCTCCTTCAAAAAACAAAAGGATATGGTATTTCTGGACTAATTGTTGAACAGATTCGGTCTTTATTATCAAATCGCGAAATGGAAGTTATCTTGAACGACCACTCTTCTAGATCTTTTTGTATTAATGCAGGTGTCTCCCCAGGGCTTTATCCTTGGACTTAAGTTATTCCTAATTTTCATCAACGACCTTCCTGATGTTAACAGTTTTCAAGTCGGTTTCTATGCAGGTGACACAACTATTTATTCTTGTTAATACAAATCTGAATGGTCCGATAAGGTCAAATTGGCAGCTGATCTTTAAAAAAAAGACCTACAATTAGTTGTTAACTAGAGCAAGGAATAACTTGTTAATTTCAAAGTCTCCACCCTTTGTGCTTTCCATCAGCATGGCTGATTCTAACCGCCAGGAGTACACGTTACGCCTTCTCTGACTAACGGTTTCTGTTGATATGAAATAGAAAGATTTTATTGAATCAATTGCTAGGTCTCTTGCTCGGAAAATTGCTTCGCTGTGTCGTGCTAGACAATTTATATCCCTAGAATCTATCTTACAAGTCGACCATTCGTCCTTGCTTTGAATATTGCTGCCACATCTGAAGTGCTGCTTCTACTATATATTTAGAGATTCTTGACAAAATCCAAAGAAAAAATAATCTGAAATGTTATTGATACTGACTTGGCATCTCGGCTTCAATCGCTTTCCTACCGCCGTAAAGTAGCTTCCCTGTGCCTTTTCTATATATAATTCCATAGTAATAGTTCTGATGTCTATCGTACCTAGACTTTATGAATTTAAGCGCAGTACTATATTGGCGACAAAGTTTCATCCTTTTACAGTTGAAATGGCTAGATGTAACCGTAAGTTCTATGCTAACAGTTTCTTCGCTCGCACTTCTCTTCCGGCTTCTTGCTTTCTAGTCAATTGGGATCTTTAAAAGTTTAAATATAATGTCAATCATTATCCTCCTTCTTAATTTCTATTCTTTTATTGTTTTCTCTCCTTAATAGTGTTTTTATTTTTTTCATATTCTCTCAGACTCAGTAACCCCTTGCGTCTTACTGGAGGTGAAATGACTAAAAAAAAGAAGCTTTGGTAAACTGAATGAGATTGGCCGAGCTGTGCGTCTAGACCAGTCATGGGCAAATTGTGCCAAAAATTAAAAATTTAGGATTTAGCATTCCTACGTTTTCAGCGTTTCCCGTCGTTGCATAATTCGTATTGAAGTTTACATCTATCTATCTATCTATCTATCTATCTATCTATCTATCTCGTTCAACATTCAGTTAGTTAAATCGTATATGTGATACATGCTTGGGCGATCATATCTCATTCCATTCATGACTGACTAGACAGAAGATTTCCCCGCAACAGGTTTCGTTTCTGTGGACAAATAGCAGGACAGACTTGCTCCTGTAGCCTTGGTTGGTAACCGGTCTAGGAGAAGGGAAACTCTGAATTCAAAACCTTCAACTATGGCTTAAATATTCCCACCAACTCTCAATTGGCCAAGTAAGTATAGTTACATCCCTGAAGACATGGTCAGTTAGAGAAGGGTTCCTCCAAGGAGTGAGAAGGTCCTGAATCAGGATCTAATCTAATGAGCTTTCATCTCTGATACCTATTCTTTTTTAGTGGAGTAAGTAAAGCTTGCACAGCTACACTGACGAATTCGTCTGCAAGACGAGCTTTCATTATGCTCGGTACCCTACGCGTTTCTCATATAAGTAAAATAAATTAGCTGTGGGTAGTAATTATTTACAGCTTCAAATATGTAAAATTACACCATGTGAAATTATCTGATAATAATTAAATTTAAAACTATGTTAATTACTTTTATGACTACTTGAAGAAATATCGAGGTGAGATTTAATAGGAAAAAGCAAGGTTTAACAATTTAGTGTAAAACGTTTTGATGAAATTTAAAATATTTACAATAAATTGGCATATAGCATTTATACTTAAAAGTATATGCATGTATAATTTAAAAAAATAGCAACACTGGCATAGTACCATTGAAACGACATTATTTACAAATGGATCGGCTTTTCTGTCAAGGACCAGTTTATAAGTGTATTCAGCCGCGACCCGTTTTGGGACTGGAATCAAAATTTAATATCTGTTCTCCTCGCTAAACTGTGAGGGAAGTCAGGTTCAGGAGATTCCAACCATGTGGCAGCACCTTCCTCATATCAATAAAGAGAGAGTGTTGATAGTTACCAAAGCCAAAGTGGGCGCAGGAATTGGATAACTTTTGGTCTTGGTCTCTATGCACGGCACGCCACATTAAACCAACCAAATGTGACACCCTATCACCGTGGGGAAGTGGGTAAACAGTTCTACCCAGTCTTCAGGCTGGGATCATAGTATAATATCTGTTTTCCTAATTTCATTGTCACATCCTAACATAATTGGGAGGTTGATAAATACATTTAAGTGTCGTCTGTGTTCTCGTTTCTAAATATAGAGAAGCCTGGTTCCGGAGATTTCAACCTTGCAGCACCTCCTTCCTTATTGCACTAAAGGGTTGGGCGATACCAACGCTAACTTGACAGTGGTCGTGTGGGTTGGGTAATTTTTTCCTTGGCCCATATCAGTACACTGATCACAGCCTTTCTTGGACTTCAGGCTGTGATCAGTGTGTAATATTTGTTCTTCGTCTTTCTGCCGTGTTTCTGTCTTCGGGCAGTTCACGGAAAGGTTTTGAAGAACTCTTTCTTGAGTATGTGCCCTAGAAATTTTATGCCTTTTTCTGATTCTAAGTATCACCGTCCTTTCTGTTTACAATTTCCGTAAACATTTATCGTTCCTCACATGGAATTAATAGCCAAAGCAATAATAATAATTTATCGAATGTATACATATTTACCGGCCGATTCGGGTAGTTTTTCACTGAGTGGATAGCTTCTGTCCCACACTATGATTTGAATCCCGTTTGTGTCGGTATGAAAAAAAAATGGGAAAGGCTCAGTGTAAGCTCAGTAAAGGAACTAAAAATGAAATAGTCTCTCTCTCTCTCTCTTTCTCACTACAACTCTCTACATTTCGACAGGCAGCTCTTTAGAATGCAGCCTGACTCTAAACCCAAGACCGGAATTCCCTACATTTCGGTCAAATGGCACTTGATACCAAAATTTTTATTTATTTCCTTTTTCCTTCCATGTGGACTGCGGGTGGTTGCCTTGAAGATCTTACACCTCAATTTTACTTTTGGTTGTCATAAAATTGTCGGTGCTTCAGGCCCAGATAAAATCATTTACACTCCTCTTGTCAAACTAGCAGAGGCTTGTTGTTTCGCACGAATGCTTCACCTAAGAAATTCAAATATTAATGTAATTCGACGAATACTTTCTCCTATTCTGAAACGAATTTTGGTATATTTAAGAAAGTAGCCTATTGAAAAATACGAACAGGTTATGAAAAATCCTCTATTAATAAATCATTTTGAAATTGATAAAGTACAGGAGTCATTAATAAATACGAGTTAACTAGTTATTTTGAATATCTCAGTAACATGATGAAATTTGGTAACCATTAATAGAAGGCACTCTTTCAAAGTGTTAGTCAGTCGCGTGTGAGATGCCATTAACTGAGCTTACAAATTGTGTGTGTGTGGGGGGGGGTGTTTGTGTGCGCGTGTTATCTTCGCAGTGAATATGCATCAAGTGAACATCAAGTGCGCGGAAACTAGTCGATTGTTTAAGAAGGCCTCTGAGAATGATTCAATGATCGAAACCCAGATAAAAGTTTGGTACTGATGCTTCAAACTTTGCCAAGAATCCGTTGAAAGCGATTAAGTTTCTGTCTTTATTCACATACACACACACACACACACACACTTACACACACACGCATATATATATATATATATATATATATATATATATATATATGTATATACAGTGTAACCCGGATATAAGAGACCCGGATATAAGAGAAACTCGGATATAAGAGAGATTTTCTCTGGTCCCAAATTAGAGCCTGTGTTAATGTAAACAAAACAGACCAAACCCGGATATAAGAGAAACCTGGATATAAGAGACTTCTTCTCCGGTCCCGACAACTCTCTTATATCCGGGTTACACTATATATATATATATATATATATATATATATATATATATATATATATATATATATATATATCGACTATTACGAAGCATCAAAACACAATTTAAAGAGGAAGGTCTAAGGGAAAGACTGCAGATTTGTATTCGGTTTAATCAACGACGCTGTAATGACTGAAGTGGTGGAGATTACGTCCTTGAATATTAGGCTCTAAAGACGTGGAATGTGGGTTCAAGTTATTTTATGCTGTTTCTTTTCAAAGCATGTATCGTTCCAGATTGTTGCGAGAGAAGACGTCAATAGTAAGATAGAGCAAAACTAGTGAAAAAATAATAAAAAAGTAATAGTAAAAATGAAGTATCGACTCAGATTTTTTTAAAAGCAGAAACAATAATGTGGCATCCTTCTTCTTCTTCTTCTTCTTCTTCTTCTTCTTCTTCTTCTTCTTCTATGTGCTACGTCATGGATCTCCACAAACTTCTGGTTTTTTGCTGCTCTAAGCAACTTTTGATTCTTTACGATCTTTCTTTGACCAGTTCTGTTATCCATTCCCACAAACTCTTGAAATAAGTGATTCACTGTTTGCCCCTGAAAGTGTTAAATTCTCTAGGTACTCTTTCTTTAATATGTGTCTCAGAAATTCCAGCTGTCTCTTTCTAATTCTAAGTACCCGTTGGAACTTGTGATAAAATAAAAGTCATAATGAAGAGTTTATCGATTCCGTATCGCGATAAAAAGCACCAATAAGATAGTGTTAAACAATTTATAAAATACTATTGATTTTTAGTAATTCTTAATAATTTCTTAGAATATTACGCACTTTTATACGTGCAAAAACTAAGAATTCGCAATGTTTGCTTTAATATCATGTAAATAACATCAGTAAATAAAGTGTAAACTTTTAGATTTAACAAGTCAAATTCATACTATTTGTTTTCAAATAAATGTACTGTTCAATGTAGATATCGAAAGGATAGATTTGTTACATGTAGATGGATTTTTAGCTGAGGTAAAAAATTTTAATTGAATGTGCTGGCAGCATAACGGTTATTAACGCGGAAAGTAGAATCGACGAGACGGGTTCAATTTGCCTTTACTTTGCACTAACAATAATGGGGGAAGTATGACCTTTTTCTTCCCATTATGAGTTAAATACCAAAACAGACTGGGCTTTCTAGCCTTGGTTGACAGTCAGTCTAGGAAGGCCACTCTGACTTCAAAACTGTGGAGAAGACAACGGGAAAACACTTTACTAACTTTCGAAAGAAGACGTGGCTATTCACAGATATTAAATAAAATAAAGCTGTAGAAAAACGTGATCCCATGCGTTTTGAACTTGATATGACATACGAGATAGTATGATTGATTGATTGATTTGTTTGTTTAACGGCCTATCAACTCCTTATGGATAATTTAATGCGGAAATTTTTTTTTTAGTTTTGTACTAATAAAAGTATGATATCTGTTATTCTGCTTTCACAGTTGAATACATGGTAGATGATACTCAGCTTTTGCGCATATATATGTTTGTGTGGACATAATTATTAGAGGCAGTGATATGTGTTTTATGTTGTAGTTTTGTTGAACTTATATTTTGGAATACAGTTTGATTTCTTTAAGAAATTGTAGGATATTATATGGACTAATGTCATGAAAGAGTTCTTTCATGTTGGTTGTTTGGTTGGTTTTGTTTAGTGGCATATCACTATAGGTTATTTAATGTCAAAATCTAAATAATTTATGGTTTCAACTAAATATATTTTGAACGCAATTTTATACCTTCAACTACAGATAAAATGTATTGTTGGTCATTTTACTTTTAAAATGGTTATTGTTGTTGGTCATTTTGCTATAAGTATTAGTCATGTTTTTTTAATATAAAATGTATTGCCGGTATTTTTACAATAAAAATGTATTTTTATACTTTCATAGTGACTTGTTTTGTTTGGAGGTTCACTATTTACCCATAGCTGGGACGCTAACGGGTGCTACCACCACGGGTCAGGGTGGACCTGGGAACAACAGCAATTATGAAATAGTTCCAGGCTCCTCAAAACATCTAGACTCTCGATTAGAGGCCTTGCTACCGGATGCAGTTTATCGTCATATCCAGGACTACAAGACAGTATGAAAAATTTTCCCGGGCTGTATGTATTCTGATTTCAGTGTACAACCGAATGCATGTACAGTTGAGACAGACAACCAAGAGTCATCGTG